GTGCGGGGCCGGGGCGCGCCTCCTCTGGCCTCCGTCCCCTGCTCTGACGGTTACGGCCAGGGTCGTCGTCCTCAGAAGAAAGGTGCCAGCGGACCTGTCGGTGCAAAGGACCCAAACCCTTAGACTGGGCGCTGCACGCTGTGCGGGGAGGGGGCGCGGGGAGCAGGTGCCAGCGGCGCCCCGGGCCCCTCGCTGGAGGCTACCCTCTTGGTCCCGCGCACAGCCACCCCCACCCCCGACTGGCACAACAGGTCCCGAGAAACACGCCGGGGCCCCGTGCGGGGCATCCCCGAGGGCTCCCCGGCAGCGCGCGCTGGGGGTGCGGTCCGGGCAAGGGCCCCCCGATTCTGCAGGACACTAAGCCAGAGTCGGTGACCCTCGGGGACTCGTCAACGCCAACGCCACCCCCACCCCAGGCTCATTCAGCCAAAGGTGCAGGGGGCTCAGGTCGCAGGTAAAGAAAAAAATCCGCGAATGCGCTGTCGCCTTCGTTTCAGAGGCGTCTTCTGAAAACCACACTCGGTCTTTCCATCCTGGAGATGTTTCCAAAGCAGTCTACTTAGTAAGGACCCTATCCATTTCCCACCCAAAGCCCAAAGCCCCGGGAAGCTCCTTAGGGTGAATAAGAGTAAGAGAAAGAGGGGAGGGAACCCTACAAGCAAACGGCCCCTTCCGCGACCCGGCAGGCAGCAGCGAGCGTCTCTGGAGAGCGCCTCCGAGTCCTGCCTGGCGCAGGACCCAAGGAGCCAGCGACGTGCGCCCGGGGCCGGGCTGATGGTGCAGCTTCTGTTTCCAGATCCCGGGCTCCCCCTTCCTGGGCTGGGGGCTCCCCGCGCCTTGCCGCGAACTTACACGCGGTCTGCACTTCGCCCCGGGGCCTCTCTGCTCCCCTAAAGCGCGCAGGTCATTCCCATACCCGGTGCAGAGTCGAAGGCACGGAAGCCTCGCTCCTCGCTGCCTACGGCCTCCAACAACTCGTCCAGTAGTCTAAGAAATAGAGTTCCTTCTCGATGAGTAGCCTCCGTCCTCAGCCCCAGACACAATGATTGCGATGTCCTCTGTCTACACGCCCAGACGCAGACTCGCGATGGTCCCCATTAAAATACACGCACGAATGCAATTACGGCGCGGAGCGCGGGGTCGGGTTGGTTACCTGGAGCATCCATGATGAGCGAGCACCGCGGTCCGCGAAGTTCTGCTCAGAGAGGACGAGCAGAGCTGGCGGGAGGAGAACCGGGCGCGACCCTTCTCCCCCGCGCGCGGCCAATACCGCGCCGCCCCGCCCTGCCCCTTCCCGCGCCCACTACGGGTACGCCCCGCACCCGCAGCTTCGTGCGCCTCACCGCGCCTAGCCGGGGACCCGCGCGCCCGCGCCCCACTCCGCGCCCCAAACCTCGTACGTTCGCGCCGGCGCCTTCTGCGTCCTGCACCAGGTCTGCACCGCGCCCGGGCCCGCAACCTTGGAGGGCCCCTCGCGCCCAGCGCGCCCGCAGCGCGGCCCGCTCCACCGGCCCCTCGGTCCCGGCCTGTCCTCCAGTCTCCAGACCGGCCGGGGCCCCGGGGACTCCGCGCACTGCCGCCTCCCGCTCCGCACGCGCTCCCGCACCCCCGCGGCACCCTGCGCCGCCCAGGTCCGGCTCCGCCGAACCCCCAGAGCGAGATCCTCCCAGACGCCTCTCTCACACGTTAGGCCCCCTCCAAAGCACCGGTCGCACCTCTGATTTTCGATTCTTTCTTTCCTCTTCCAAATTCCCTCCAAGTCTTAATCCTGAACGGCGTGACCACTTTCATAATTGGGGGGAGCGGGGAGGGCGGGGGAGGGGAGGTGGAGGGAAGCAGTTTTCCTAAAAACAAACGACTGAGCTGGAGAGAAAAAGCTTGGGATTTTAATGGTTTTAAAGGCTGTGGTTGCAGCGTGTCCAGGTGGGGAAATGTCAGGATTTGGCGGGGATTAGGAGGCGCCTCCGCCCGGGTCTCGGTGCTGCTCCTCTGAACCTCGGGCGCCTGGAGCGCGGTCGCCCTCGCGCTTATTTATTAAAACGCCTGCTCCGAGCTCGAATGTCCTGGGGAGACGCGCTGGGTTTTCCGAGCTAAGCCCGGAGCGCAGCGCCAGCGCCAGCATGGACATGGGGCGCCACCTACGGGCGCTGGGGTCTCCCTGCCACAGACTGCGGGCGACAGCCCCGGGG